AAGGTAGTGGACAAATTTCTGTGTTCTTGGTGCCTCAAAGCGGCTGGCAAATTGCCAATTGCTCAATCTCAGCCCCTAGGAACGAATTAGATGACCGTCCTCTATTCCTATTCTTAACCTGCAGTGGCAAAAACTGTGGTGACTGGACTTTCAAAGTCATTTTAAAGGTTAGTATGTTATGCAGGCGATTCTTCTGTACAGTTCTATGCCATTTTTCCAGCATCCAGGCAACCCGGTACGAGATGACGAGACCCAGTTACTGGTTGGCGCAGCAAGTCACTATCTCCATGGATCAAATATGCAGTCGATGACGATCAAACGTATTTTGGCTGACATTGTAAATAAGCGACAATATGATCCAGCATGGTCGATAGCAGCTAGTGCATGGAATGTCGATATGATCTACCGATACTTTTAAACAAACGTGTATGTAGCGATAGCAATAAGTGAAAATATAGAAGTTGTAGCGTTTAACTAGTGTAGATCATTAAATGTTTCTGGAAATTTTGCTTTCCGCTCTTTTTGCCTAATGAGATATGCTGATAGATACTGATTGAAATGCAGTTTCTCCGATATCTGACCGCTCTCCATAGCCGCGATGCAACCGCATTGCGATCTATGCGACGCGTGAGTGCAGCGTGACGTGAAAATCATGGTTTGAAAAAAACGTTAGAATTCACAAAGAGCTCATTATGTTTTTATTCGTACAATTACATTCTCTTGTAAAATTGTAAAAGGAGAATTGGCAGGCAAAGTGGAACCAGGATTGCGGATGGTTAAAAATTACTATTGATTGCAAAGAAAATCGATACGAAAGCAAAAAATGTAACTATGTGGGTCCAGCTGGCCTCATCAGATTGTGCGGATATTCACCTTTCGTTTTTGGAGAGAATAACAAGTTTGATCTGAAAGATTAAGAAGTAGGCATATCGAACTCTTTCTTATCAATCGATATATTGACTTTTTACTAGCCATCAATATATCGATTTCTTTGGGCTTATTGGCGCAACTTGCCTGTGTGGAATAGGGTCATGTGGGCCAGGAGTGGGTACGTGTCCAGCGCAATATACCTTAAATATTCATTCATCAAAAACCGTTTTTTCCAAAAAATTTTTCTCTTTCATAGGTCAGAATGCATCAAATAACATTATACTGTGCATTCGATCGTTGTCGAGAATTATATCTTCACTACTACAAATTATAAAAGATTAGAAAACTTTGTGGAAAATTAATTTATCGATTGATTTAATGGTTTCAAACCTCTAAATCTTGCGTATCATTCCTGTTATTGTGATAAGTTTTTAATGATAGTCGTGTCCCACATATCCAACATTTGAAGCAACCCTTGTGGAAAAGTGCACCGTCCTTCAGCGGGCCTACCTGAAGATAGTCAGACCTATCAATATTAGTGGAATGTTGAAATATAGTTTTGTAATCGTCAAAGAGATGGTAATTGAAAAATTATTTCGTTATGCTACAAATTTTTTACTTTTTCTAACGATTTTTTTTGTCCAACTTTCTGCTAAATCTATATATTCGCAGTAGTAAAGTGCTGATTTTTGGTTATAGCGTTGCTAAAGCAGGATTAATCAAAAACTAAGGGAAAACCAGAATTTAAAATAGTGTAGACTCAGGGCATTTTATATGTTGCGTTCAAAGTTTGCCGGGTCATGAAACTTTCAGCTATCGAACGGCTCCGAATGCGAAATCAAATTTCGGATATAGACAAGGCGGCCCTGCTGCGCACACATTTCGTAATGCAATATTAGCTGGCTATGCATTTGCGTTCAATAAATAATCGATTATTGATTGTACACGATCGTAACGTAGCAATGGCATCTCCCCTTAATGGAGGATAAATCGATAATCGATTTCTGCAAGCACTCACCTTATCATTGAAGTAGGTAGGCCGTTTACACCGGAAACACGGCTCCTTCATGAGATAACCTGCAATGAGTAGAAGGTAGAGTAAAGGTGTAGTAGAAGCATTAAGAGAATAACAAAATATGTGAATAACACGAAAAGGTTATTACAGAGAAAAGAATCTAGAAGACAAAGCTGAAAAGAGATGAAAGTGAGAGTGGTACCGTGATTTGTTTTGTTGGAATAGTAATAGAAAAATGTAGTTTATCACACTAACGGCTGCTATTTGACATCTTCCTTCCGCAAACTGAAACGTTTTCTTATGACATTACTTTTCTCCGCCAAATTATCTCTTAAGATCGTCTAGTTTCTGCAGTCTATTTACTTACTTAAAGGTACGCTTGATTTACACTTACAGTAGCAATGTATAGGGCGTCTCGAAAAACGTATAGTCTCAACTGTTAATAACTCCTGAATTTCAAGATTTCATCTAAACCCTTATGATGCAATTCAATTCGAGCTTGAGTTTAGTCCTGCTACCAAAAAAGGTGTTGTGCATTTTTTCCCTTTTGCGATAGGTTTCTAAGATTATCAGCGGCTCAAGCGTTCGTGTAAAGCATTGTTGGCATGTATACAAACCCAGTCTCAAAAAACCTAGGGTTTTGCAGTTGCCCAAAGGTAATTTATGCTGTCCCCTACCCTAATAAACTGGGAGGTGTCCGAAAAGAATTATTATCTGCAAAAAAATTTAGAAAAATCATTAACGATCAAGCTGTGGCTGATTTTTAGATATTTAAGTAGTTGCCAGAGCGAACTTCTGCGGCTAAAAAATCTCTTGTAATTTGAAACTGTATCTCCTCGTATTTCAAAAGTAGTGCAGCAACCCTAGAGAGTTAGAGCTACAGAGTACAATGTCAGTTTATAAATGGCCTGCTTTACTTTAGGACAGAAAAACCCAATGGCAACATCATTTTCATTCAAAAGCTAATATATGCAGTATTTACTACTGCAGTAGACTCAGCATTCTACTCACTGAATTAGTAAATTTGCCGTTTATATATAGGTCCGACTAAGGGCGACGTCGTTACTAATTAGAATTTCAACACAAGGAAAAATAAAAGCGACATATGCTATTGCGACGCAAGATAGTGAAAGGCGAAATAAGTAGGTAACGGCTGTAATACTGATGGGAATTTTAAGGGTTTAGCGAGTTTATAAAGAAACTGTTCGTCCTAAGAGATTTGGTAAATTATTCAAAATAAGTTGGTGTAGATGATGTGTCAGCTACTGGTAAGAGGGTGTAGAAGGGCTGTCATAATTAGTTTGATCCAATTTACTTTTTCTTCAAAATAATCAAAATTGCATTGTCGCGATATAAGTCAAACAAAAAAATACATTTTTTGGGTTAACAATAAGGAAAACACGAAATTGAGAAGCGAAACCGCGTTGTAAGTTTCATCCATGA